ACTTGATCCTGAAATGAGGCCTAATGAGGTGTAGCATGACAAACAGTAATGCACTGTAATGTTGTAATAATATCTTATTCTTTTTTCAATAATTAGTAAAAGTGATTGGTACAATGATTTTAAAATAAGCAATAATCTAAACTGTTTTCACCCTTCTTGGTATTCACAGGCTGGAGTTGATTTCTGCTCAGTATCAGGGTAAGGAAGTGTCACCCCCATTTGTCAGCATTCCACTGCCAGGTCTGTGCATGTCACACCTTTTCTAGTTAAACCACTTGGAATTTCCAGCCCAAGCAAACTTGAACATTCAAGTACTTTCTTATCCAACTTTTCAAAATCACAGTAGAGGAAATGCAGAGTCTGTGACATGCATCTCATATGCTTTCTTTTCATCTTAGGGAGAGGATAAATTAGCCTCCATCTCCAGAAGTATTTGTCAAGTAGTTACTTTTTAATCCTAATTTATTTGTGTCTAAATCCAGCAAAGGATTTAAGCATATGCTTATGCTAAAAATATGAATTAGCCCAGTAATTCCATAGTTAAGCATCATACAAGTACATCATACAAGCTCGTGATGGATCCTTTTCACTTTCTTGTCTTCCAGAAAGAGTTTGACTTCTCTTGTGTGTAACAGATTAATTTTATCTGAAACACCACCTATATGATCACTGTTGCAAAAATAGCTCTAATTTGTCATAACCATGCAAACTGGACAGGTCAAATGAGTTTATCTCAGTGCACATTTCTATCAGATGTCTTCAATGTAACCTGAAAAAGAGTACAATGGAAAATTAGGTGTATCATCTAACAATTAAACATAAACAAAACACAGTTTGTTTTGTAATTCTTTAAAACAACAGATGTTAGGTTAAATCTCGTGTTCAGGCATTTATCACATCTGCTTTCTGTTCCCTTGGAAAATGTACTCACAATAGAGCTCAAATTAATTACAATGAGATTTGTCAGCTGAAACCTAAAAGGGAGTTCAGGGAATAAACATTTAATTCTAGAAGGAAATAATTGGTGTTTAAAAGCTTTAAACTTGTTTTCAGTAGGTTCACATAGGCAAAGCTCCATTACAGACAGTGTTTGAGACCTGTTGTAACCTTCATGGGGTCTGCAAGGAGATACCAGGCCAGAGGAAGAAGGGATGAAGAGGAGTCTCCAGGGCTGGGGAGCCTGAGGGTGCAGGCTGGGGACCTGCAGCACAAGCTGCAGAAGCCATGATCCACCCACAGCCTTCCCTGGCAACAAGAAACACTTCTGACCTTAAAAATGAATAAATCTTCACTGTTCTCTCATAAAACTGGAGCCTGCCAATGCATAGGTATTGAGGAGGCTCCAGTAAAGAACTTCCATAATCACCTTTTTTTTCCTTAATGGCTTTTATGAGAACATAGAAAGGTCTCCCTCACCTTCCAAGTCTGGAGAGACCTGCAGAATGCTACTAAAAAAGACAGTTCTTTAACTCAAAAGGAGTAGAATTTGACTCAATTATCCTGCATCCTAACAGTACAGAAAGATAAAAATATTGCTTTGAAGAAAAGGGTTTCATTGCAGCGAGATTATATACAAGCATCAAATAAGGTATAAGCTAAGACTTGTCATTCCTACAGATATCATCTTCTCTGTAGCTGCTCTGAGTTTAATTCCTGCAGCACTACTACACAGGTAAGACAGCCTTGATCAGGCTCCAAACCAGTTCTCTTGCCAATGTCCCTGGCCTCTTGTAACTGTTAACACACATATTTTTGGCCAAACAACACCTCTTCCTTTGAGAGACTTCACACAGCCTCTCCCAATCCCTTTACACACTCCTTGCATTGTCCTGCCAGTTTCACCTTTGCTATTTCCAGGCATGTTACTCATAGCAATGTGTTGCAACAACACAACATTTGGTTCTACCCCAGTCCCTCAGTAAATGGCTCTTGTCTCCTGAAGTCTCCAGAGCTTTTGTTCCACAGCCTGCCTGGATGGGGGTGTGTGTGACTAACTTGTCCCTCCATCCTCCTGCCCCCAGGATCACTGTCTGGCTGTTTCTAGGAAGGCTCATTTCCTCTAAAAAAAATAACTAAAAGAGAACGAACCAAGTTCAAGTACCTCTGAAATTTTCAAGTGAAGTACAGCCACCTGTTATTGTTATGTAGCATGCCATGAAAACAATAAACTGCTCTTAGGAAAACAATAAACATCATTTGCTGCCTAAGCATGTGGCTGTTTAGGAGATGAGCTTCAGGAATTGTCCTCCTCCTTCAGAGGCATCTGCGTGTTAATTCAGCAGAGCAGTGCTCTCCTCACCGTGGCCCACATAAATGTCATCCCTTTAGAAAACAGCAAGAAGCATGAAAATAAACAGCTATAAGTAGAAGCAAGCATTGTGGTTAGTTTTGAATTGGCTTTATTGACATTTCTGTCTGGGATTCTGTTACTGCACAATTCAGAGAGCAGAACAACCAAATTAATTTCATTTAGGCCAAAAGTGGTTTGAAGTTGTTTGAAGGACAGAAGCCCCTCCAAATACCATTTACACACAGAACACAAGAGCAATCTTCATCTTTACTTTGGGCCCTTAATTCTGATATATTACAAAGTATTTCACAAATTTTACTTTAGTGAAGCAAAAGCAAATCAAATGTGGAAACCCAGTTCATCCTGCCTTAGAAGCTCTTGGTGCAGGGAGGCAGAAAAGTTCTTCAAGAAGATTTAATCAAGCCAACCGAGGTACGAGGAGCAGATTTACTTTCTGTGGCCTCTCCATCTGCAGGGAAGGAGAGAGGGAACTGTTAGTGAATGTGAATAAATTTCCTCTTACAACAGGAACATGTCACGTGCATCAGAGCCTCCTGTGAGGCTCTACTGAGAGTTCCAGACGAGAAGATAGGAAAAGATTCTTACTACAATCAGCTCTCCTCAGCACACGAGCAGCTACCTGAACTGGGCCCTGGAGACAATTCTAGCTCTGAGGAAACATATGCTTCTATTACAGAAATGGCCCTCTCCAGGGAAGCCCAATTGCTCAGGATGTTCAAAACTGGGCCAGACTTAGAAGCGGCAGCAGCACAACAGAAAATAGATGGCAGAGGTTCTTCCTTAGCCCCCAGCTCCTTCTGGCATTTCACTGTTGTTACCTGGCAAGTTGAGAGACTCATAGTGCTGCAAACTGGATGTGGCACTTTTTAGCCACCACTTGCTCCATTGCCATCCCCTTCTCTTGTGTTTTGTTTTGCTGATGAGCTTCACTTAGCTTCAAAACAGTGAGTCAGGCTTCCAGCCCTGCTGATGTACTTACTCCCCCCAAGAAAAGGCTCCAGGCAAAATCACTTCTCTTTCCGAAGGCAATAAAAGATTTCTTTCCTCAGGTCTGTTGCAGAAGCATGAGAAGAACTTAAAAAAACCAAACCTGTAGGTTAAATAGCTCGGGGAAAAAACAGACAAAGCTGAATTCACGGGACTTACACTGCTTTATACACTGCTTTGTACACTTCTGCTGGTTATTTCAATGAATGGTTTGGAAAAAGTTCTTTTCAAAAGGAATACATCCACATAAAAGCTGAACCAGTAGACTCTAACTTATTTTCATGAAGACATCCACTGAAAAAGCAGAAAAAAACCCATATTTTTTCCAGCATGTTTAATTTGGGAAGGTGGACAGGAGTTTCAGTACCACTCAAAAAGTCTAAAGCTAAAAAGCTATTAAGCATTTAAGCACATGAACAGTCTTACTGACTCTGAGAAAAGTAACTTACTCAAGCCCTCACAAGACCAGAGCTTTACTTGCTCCTGGTTGTGTTTCCAAACAAAAGCTAAACTGCTTCTCAAACAAGACCATGGAAATCCAAAGGTTCAGAAGTCCTTACTTAGTCCCCTGATGGTCCACCACTATCCACCCTAAGCAGCCAGAGGTTTTCAGAGAGTAAGGATCACATCTTTATTTATTTCCATAAGCCAGCTACTGTATCTTGTGTGTATCCCATCAGACACACCTCCTTGAGCAGCCTCACACACATTGCACATGTACATCCCTCTTGGCTTGCCCTGGCAGCCTCAGAAACCCAGGGGATTCTTCCAACACACCGTGCTGGTCTGTGGGGCTCAACCCTACACACTTTGGGTGAAAAGGCATCTTGTTTCCAGCTGAGTAGGCATGGACTGTAATGAAATATCTCTTTTATCACTAAACCACGACCTCCTGGACATATCAATGTACTAACACCTGACCAGCCCACTCAGTAGCACAAAGGACAGGGCTGCACCACCCTAACCTAACAAGCCTAACTCTAAATCCTTTCATTGGTTATGCCTGGGACTATGTAGTGACATACACAAGCCTTAAGGAATGAAGGGTGAATTTAGAAATTCTGATTTCCCTTCAGCATTGTCCTGCGGGAGCCGTTCCCGGGGCTGTCCCTGCTGGAGCAGGCAGTGTGTCATTGCTGGAGCACGGCAGTGTCCCCACTGGAGCAGGCTGTGTGTCCCCACTGGAGCAGGCTGTGTGTCCCCGCTGGAGCACGGCAGTGTCCCCGCTGGCTGCGCCGTCCTTCATCCCGCAGCACTGCGGGGACAAGAGGAGGACAGTGCAATATTAACCCGGCTCTGCGTTTCGATGCCGCAGATACAAACGCCCATGGCTGGATGAGCCCCTGCCTCTCCAGCGGGTCTGAAGCACAGCCCAGAGCTGCAGCCAGGCACGCCGCTGACAGCCTCTGCTCTTCTCCTATTGACTCGTGCGCCAGCTGGGAGGACAAACCCCTTTTCCCGGGGCTGGCTGCGGTGCTCGCCCGCTGCCCAGCGCCAAGGCGGCGGCTCCCGGCGGCGGTCCCCGCTCGCAGCC